AAAAAACTTTGGTTCCTAGCATGACAAAAAATTCTTAGCATGACAAGACATAAAAATTGGGGGGAGGGACTGCCATTTGCTAGGCCACCAGCCTCTAGCCCTACGTGTGTGTGTGTGTGTGTGTGTGTGTGTGTGTGTGTGTGTGTGTACTTGAACTCAGGCCCATTCTTAGCTTTTCCAATCAACAATGGCACTCTACCACTTGAGACACAGCTCTACTGCTGCCTTTTGGTTGGAAATAAGGATTTCACAGATTTAACTGTCTAGGTTGGTTTTGAACTGGGATTCTCCAATCTCAGTCTCCTGGGTAGCTAGGATTACAAGAGTGAGCCACCAGGGGCTAGGAAGTTGGCTCAGTGGTAGAGCGCTTGCCTTGCATGCATGAGGTCCTGGGTTTGATTCCTCAGCACCACATAAGCAAAAAGGAGCCGGAAGTGGTGCTATGGCTCAAGTGGTAGAGCACTAGCCTTGAGCTGAAGAGCTGAGGGACAGCACCCAAGCCCAGAGTTCAGGCCCCAATACAGGACCCCCCCCCAAAAAAAGTGAGCCACCAGCACCCAATCAGCCATCTTTTTGCTAGTTATTTTGGAAATTGAGTCTACTGAATTTTTCTACCTGGGTTGGCCTGAACTTCTATTCTCCAGATTTCAGCCTTCTAGATTACACATCTGAACTGCCAGCAAGCACCTAAGAAAAACAAGCAAACAAACATAGCTGGGGGGCTGGGAATGTGTCTCAGTTGTAGAGTGCTTGCCTACTATGTATGAAGCTCTGGGTTCGATTCCTCAGTACCACATAAACAGAAAAATCTAGAAGTGGTGCTGTGGCTCAAGTGGTATAGTGCTAGTCTTGAGCAAAAGAAGCTGAGGGAGAATGCCCAGGCCCTGAATTCAAGTCCCAGGACTGGCAAACAAAACAAAACAACAAAACAAAACATAGCTGGGCATGGAGCAGAGATGAGTATGGTGTTGAAAGTCATTAATCCCAGCACTAGGGAGGTTAAGGTAGCAAAATCACAAGTTCAAGTCCAGCCTGAATTATAAAGTGCAACCCTGCCTCAAGAAAACACAAACAAAACTCAACAACAAAAACACCTCAATTTCAGATTTCTGGCTTCTAGGAGTATGATAAAATGAATTTTTGTTTTAAGCTATACAGTTTGTGGTATAACCTGTTATGATAGGAACACAAATTAATACATCCTAGACCATAGACAGTTTTTTCCAAGATCTCAGTCAAATGCTCTGCCTGATGTCCTACCCTGTTTTCTGGTTTGTTTGTTTTCAGATTCTTCTCAAAAAGCACCTCTTCAGTAAAGCTTTTCTCTCCATCTCAGTCAATTTAATTTACTTCCTCTTTGATGCTCATATACTTTGGAGAATATCTACCTCGCTTCTGTGGAACATATTACATTATATTGTATTATTTGTTTGTGTGTTCCCTGCTTATCTATGAACATCTAGGATTGATGAGGATGTCTTATTTGTCTGTATGTTCCCAGAACATAAACAGTGTACTCGGCACATATGAAAGACTCAATAAATGTTGGCTGGATAAACAATTTCTGTAAATAGATTCTCCAATAATCTGTGTTTCAGGGGAAGGTAAATCTAGCTACAGAATGAAGAATGAATTAGAGAGAGAGCACAAGGCCTTTAGAAAGGAAGACAGATTCGTGGGTTCCGGTAATAATCATGACTAGAGGTAATGAAAGGCCGATTTAGCACAGTGGCTGTGGTAATGGAAAGGAGGAAACTGCTGGGAGAAATGCCACAGAAGCAAGGCCAATTGGATTCTCAGGGTATGGGAGGGTGGTGAAGATCTTGAAATTTCAAGTCTAGGTAATTAAGAGGGTGATGATGCCATGAAGTGAGATTGGAAAGACAAAAAGAAAGACAGGGCAGGGCACCAGTGGCTCACAGCCATAATCCTAGCTACTCAGGAGGCTGAGATGACGATAGTGGGTGAAAGCCAGCCAGGTAGGAAAGTCAGTGAGACTCTTATCTCCACTAAACTACCAAAAATGCCCAAAGTGGATCTATGGCTCAAAAGGTAGAGTGTTGGCTGGGAATGTGTCTTAGTGGTAGAGTGCTTGCCAAGCATGCATGAAGCCCTGGGTTCAATTCCTCAGAATCACATAAACAGAAAAACCCAGAAGTGACACTGTGGCTCAAGTGGTAGAGTACTAGTCTTGAGGAAAAAAAAAAAGCACAGGGACAGTGCCTAGGCACTGAGTTCAAGATGCAGGACCAGTACAAAAAAAGAAGAGGGAGAGGGCTGGGAAGGTGGCTCAGTGGTAGAGTGCTTGCCTTGCATGCATGAGGCCCTGGGTTCGATTCCTCAGCACCACATAAGCAGAAAAAAAAGCCGGAAGTGGCTCTGTGGCTCAGTGGTAGAGCGCTAGCCTTGAGCTGAAGAGCTGAGGGACAGCGCCCAGGCCCAGAGTTCAGGCCCCACAACCAGACCCCCCCCAAAAAAAGAAGAGGGTAAAGTAGGAGGAGAAAGATGGGGAGATCAAAAAAGAAGAGTGAGAAGTAGGAGGGGAAAGATGGGGAGATCAGCTGGGTGCTGGTGGCTCACTCCTGTAATCCTACCTACTCAGAAGGCTAAGATCTGAGGATCATGCTTCAAAGCCAGCCAGGGCAGGAAAGTCCATGAGACTCTTATCCCCAATTAACCACCAGAAAACCGGAAGTGGCGCTGTTGCTCAAGTGGTAGAGTGCTTGCCTTGAGCTGAAGAGCTGAGAGACAGCACCCAGGCCCAGAGTTCAAGCTCCAAGACCGACCAAAAAAAAAAAAAAGTTGGGGAGATTTCAGCTAATACTGTTGGTCCTCCATTTTGAAGTCAGATCTCACCTATGTCAACAAGGACCTAGCTCAGACAGCAGCTAATGTAGGTATTCCGGTTCAGATTAGGTTAGAGAAAAGATAGATATATATGTGCCCACATGAGCCAACCTAGTATTTTCCATTCTTTTGAGAAAGTTGAACTTGAAAAGAGATTTTTTTGTTGTTGTTGATCGTGAAGCTTGAGAACTCAAGGCCTGGGAGTTGTTCCTGAGCTCTTTTGCGCAAGGCTACTGCTCTACCATTTTGAACCAGAGAGCTACTTCTGGTTTTCTGATGGTTAACTGGAGATAAAAGTCTCACAGACTTTATTGCCTGGGGTGGCTTTGAACTTGGATCCACAGATCTCAGCCTCTTGAGTAGCTAGGATTGCAGGTGTCAGCTGCCAGCCCCTGGTTTTGACAGATTTAATGGTGACTGAACCAATGAAGCATAAAATGGGTGGGAAGGGTATCCAAATCCTCCAGTATAAAAGATAATGATTTAGAGGAGAAGATGCTCTGAACTAGTATCAATGGTTCAAGCTTGTAATCCTAGCTACTCAGGAGGATGAGATATGAGGATCATGGTTAAAAGCCAGAAACCAGCTGAGGTAAACAAATCCAAGGGAGACTTTTATTTCCAATTAATTGCCAAAAAGCCAGGAGGGGAGCTGTGGCTCAAATACTAGAACTATAACTTTGAGCAAAAAAAGCTAAGGGACAGTGCCTGGCCGTGAATTCAAGCCCAAGTGTGTGTGTGTGTGTGTGTGTGTGTGTGTGTGTGTGTGAGAGAGAGAGAGAGAGAGAGAGAGAGAGAGAAACAGAGACAGAGACAGAGAGACAGAGACAAAGACAGAGAGACAAAGCGACAGAGCGACAGAGCACTTCCCCAGGATTTAATGGTCAGAATTTAATGGTCAGCAGATTCTTTTCTTTCTTCTTTTCTTTCTTCCTTTTTCCCTTTCCATTTTTTTTCTTATGTGGGTGGTGGGGTTTGAACTCTGGGCTTAGGTTCTGTCCCTGAGCTCTTCAGCTCAAGGATAGTGCTCTACCACTTGAGCCACAGCACCACTTCCAGTTTTCTGATGGCTAATTGGAGATAAGTCTCATGGACTTCCCTACCTGGGCTGGCTTTGAACCACTATTCTCAGATCTCAGCCTCCTGAGTAGCTAGGATTACAGACCTGAGCCAACAGCACCTGGCCTATTTTTCTTTTTGTGCTTGTCCTGGAGCTTGAACTCTGGGCCTGGGCACTGTCCCTGAGCTTTTTGCTCAAGGCTAGTGCTCTACAAGTTGAGCCACAGCTTCACTTCCAGCTGTTTTTTTTTCCAGTCCTGGAGTTTGAGTGCAGGGCCTGTGCGCTGGCCCTAAGCTTCTTTTTTGCTCAAGACTACCACTGGAGCCATAGCTCCACTTCCAGGTTTTTTGGTAGTTTATTGGAGAAAAAAGTCCCACAGTCTGTCCTGCCCAGGCTAGCTTTGAGCCATGAACCTTAGATCTTATCCTCCTGTGGTCAGAGGATTCTTAAGTCTTTGACATATCAACTTAGTCTCAAACACCACCTTACAGCAGCACCCAGTGCCCCAGAGGAATTAGACTGTATCACTGAACCTTTTTGCCACACCCCTTGTAAAAGCCTGGTTTCTAAGGTTCTTTCCACCGGAAGTTATGACAGAAGGAAATGTGTGGGTGGGGAGGGGTAGTGGGTGAGAGGCCTAGGTTCCCGACACAGACTACACCCAGGAAAAGAATTGCAAACGCCATGTTGAAGCCATCACTGCTACTGAAACCCCTCTTACTCCTGCAGCTGCCTCTGCTGGGGGTGGGGCTGAACTCCACAGTCCTCAAGCCCAGTGGGAATGAAGACGCCACAGCTGGTGGGAAATCTGAGGCCAGAAGGGGGTTGGAGAGAGGGAAGCTATGGGGAGGGGTTGTAGAGAAATCTGGTCATTACAACAATGTGGTCAGAATTGTAGAAGAGAGGGAGGGCTAGGGGAAGGGTTCATTGCCTTACACTACTGTTCCTTCATTTCTGTTTTTAATTATATTTTAATATATATATATATATATTTTTGGTGCTGGTCCTGAGGATTGAACTCACGGCCTGGGCACTGTCCCTGAGCTTCTTTTGCTCAAGGCTAGCACTCTACCACTAGAGCCACAGCTCCATTTCTGGATTTGTTTAGTGGTTAATTGGAAATGAGTCTCATGGACTTTTCTGCCATGGCTGGCTTCGAACCATGATCCTCAGCTCTCAGCCTCCTGAATAGCTAGGATTACGGGTGTGACTCACCTGCATCAAGCTTATTTTTATTATCTTTGTTTTTTTGTTATCTCTATTTATAAAAAGGGGTTACCTTTCATGCTCCTTCTTTCTTTTTTTTTTCATGCTCCTTCTTCTGACAATCATTTTCTTCTGTTTCCCTCTCCTACTCTATTCTCTCTCCAAGCTAGATCTCTCCTCGAATTCTATGGCTCCTGAATCCCTCAGTGTTTCCACCTTGCCTCTCCCAGAAGTTCAGTGCTTTGTGTTCAATGTGGAGTACATGAATTGCACTTGGAACAGCAGCTCTGAGCCCCAGCCTACCAACCTGACTCTGCATTATTTGTATGTGAAGGGAAGAGGGGGTTGCATAGGGAAGGACACGAAATGGGGAGGTGAACCAGATGAGAGAAACAGCATGGGGACCAAGAAAGGTGTGTCTCCCAGGCACCCCATTAGTTTCTCATGGGATAAATTATATGTCAGTTCGGACCAGGTAAGGCTAGGGAAGTTTACCCCATGATGCTTCTTCCTTCCAATCTGTCTCTAGGTACAAGAACTCTGATAATAATACCTTCCAGGAGTGTGGCCACTATTTGTTCTCAGAAGACATCACTTCTGGCTGTTGGTTTCAAAAAGAAGAAATCCATCTCTATGAAACATTTGTTGTTCGGCTCCAGGATCCTCAGAAACCCAAGAGATTGGTCACACGGAGGCTGGCACTGCAAAATCTGGGTAATCTAGAAATAAGTGAGAGGCCTGTGGGATGAAAGACGTGGTGTTCCCCCATTGTTGTACACGTGGAAATGGATGGGGAAAGGAGGAGGCATAAAAGGTGCTACCTTGAAGATGCCCACTTGTGTAGGCCAAGGGAATAACCACACATACACACATATTTCCAGTGATCCCTTGGGCTCCAGAGAATCTAACACTTCACGACCTGAGTGAATCTCAGCTGGAACTGAGGTGGGACAACAGATATTTTGATCACTGTTTACAACACTTGGTGCAGTACCAGAGTGACCAGGATCGTGGCTGGACTGTAAGTGATTTGGGGAAATGGATGTAGTAGCTAAGGCGAAGCAAGTAGGTGAAAGGATGCAGTCAGATAGGAGGACCTGATAGTTTCTCTTCTGTTCTCTGCCTCCCAGCTTCTCTGACCACCCCTCCCCCACTCCTTTGTCTATCATCACCAGAGTTTTCATTTAGGTTTTCCTGTCCAGATTCTTCCTGACACCAAACAGACAAGGAAACAAAAGAAAGCCATAAAAGGATGGTGGGGAGGGGAGGGGACTCACATGAGTAAAGGAAGCAGTGTGGTTTGAGTGGTTGAGAGAGGAGGGGGAAAACTAACTGGGAGGAACCAGAACCAGTTTTCTTTCTTTCTCTTTCTTTCTTTATTTTTTTTTGGGGGGGTCCAGTCGTGAGGCCTGAACTCTGGGCCTGGGCGCTGTCCCTCAGCTCTTCAGCTCAAGGCTAGCGCTCTACTACTTGAGCCACAGTGCCACTTCCGGCTTTTTGCTTTATGTGGTGCTGAGGAATCGAACCCAGGGCCTCATGCATGCAAGGCAAGCACTCTACCACTGAGCCACCTTCCCAGCCCCTCTTTCTTTCTTCCTTCCTTTCTTTCTTTCTTTCTTTTTTTTTGTCAGTCGTGTGGCTTGAACTCTGGGCCTGGGCACTGTCCCTCAGCTCTTCAGCGCAAGGCTAGCACTCTACCACTTGAGCCACAGCGCCACTTCTGGTTTTCTGAGTGGTTTATTGGAGATAAGAGTCTCATGGACTTTTCCTGCTCGGACTGGCTTTGAACCACAATCCTCAGATCTCTGCCTCCTGAGTAGCTAGGATTACAGGCATGAGCCACTGGTGCCCGGCCAGAACCAGTTTTCTTCAGAACTGGAACAGAACCAGAACTTGGAAAAAGAAGATGATCTTGAATTGTTGTAGGCAGGAATATTCTTTAATTTGTTCTTCTTTTTATAGACACTCACCTTTTCTTCGCCTTACCTTTTGTTTCCAAGGAACAAATAGTGGATCGTAGACGGTACTTCTCCCTGCCTAGTGTGGATGGGCAGAAATTATATACATTCAGAGTTCGGAGCCGCTTTAACCCACTTTGTGGAAGTGCTCAGGTTTGGAGTGAATGGAGCCACCCAATCCACTGGGGAGGCAGTACTTCAAAAGGTAAAGCCAGTCAAATCCATGACTCCAATCACAACCCCCCCCCCCCAATCAGCCTTTCCATCATCACTGTGTTTTGTTTTATTTCCCTATCCTAAGCCTCCACACTTAGATGCCTAGCTCCCCTCCCTAGTCATCCTCTGAGAAGAAGGGTTGGGAGGGTGTGCTATCAGAGTCAGAGAGTAGATTGAGAAATAAGCCAAAGGGTTCTCAAGGGAGATATGGAATGTGTAGGATTTCCCTGCAGCATTCCAGAGAACGTGCATGGTGAAGATGGCCTTGGAACTGGACTGACCTCTTTGATCCTATTCCTTCATCTGTAAAATATAGATAATATTTCTTCTTCTCAGAAGCTGTTGTAAAGATTATAAGTATAGGGAGTATGTTTAGCACGGTGCCTGGTGCCCACGTCGTAGGGGTATCACAAATGTAACGTCCATTTTCCTTTCTTTTTTTTTTTTCCTGTAGAGAATCCTTTGTGGTTTGCATTGAAAGCTTCACTTATCCCCCTTGGCTCTGTGGGAGTGATTGTTTGCCTTTTCTTTGTGTATTTTTGGATGGAAAGGTGAGATTTCATGAGCCACCCCCTAAATGAGGTGGGGTAGCTGGGGTTATTCCAGGGTTCCCAGAGATAGAGGGCAAGCCAGTAAGGAATGAAGGATCACCCCCAAAGAGCATGGTGATGGGAGGAAGCCACTGGCACAGAAAACGGAATTCCTTGCCTTCATATGAAGCAGCTGGGAAGGGGGTAATGAAGAAATTTTAACCTATGTGATCTCCCTTTCTCCCCACTCAGGACAATGACTCGAATTCCCACTCTCAAGAACCTAGAGGATCTGGTTACTGAATACCATGGGAACTTTTCGGTGAGAACATTGTCATAAGCATACTGCAGTCTGTAAACTGCCAACTGTTAGCCAGCAAGACAGTGTGTGTGTGTGTGTGTGTGTGTGTGTGTGTGTGTGTGTGTGTGTGTATGTTGGGCAGGGCAAACAACAGAGTGAAGGAGGACAGGACCTGTATTGTAAGGATATGGCTAAATAAGTATTGGATGGGCTAGGCAGACACACACAGAAAAAATTGACTATAGATATGCAAAGCCCATGGAAATAGTGGTATCAGGGCTCAGGAGTATGAGTGACCCTTCTATAATCATAATGCTTGCAGACAGTGTCAGAGATTCTTTGGCACAGAGCCTGAGTCTTTTGCTCCCTTTTTCCTAATTGACCTCTGACCTTGAGATATCTGTTTTTAGGCCTGGAGTGGTGTGTCTAAAGGACTGGCGGAGAGTCTGCAGCCAGACTACAGTGAACGGTTCTACCATGTCAGTGAGATCCCCCCAAAAGGAGGAGCCTTAGTGGAGGGGCCTGGGGGCTCCCCCTGCAGCCAACATAGCCTCTACTGGCCCCCCTCCCATGTTATACCCTGAAGCCTGAGCTTCTATCTCCAGCTAGATCCCCAGGGTCCTGTAGCCCTAAATTATATTAACTTCCCCTCACCCATCCTACCTCCCTCTCTGGGTAAATTTGATTTTTTTTGATGGTACTGGAGATTCAACCCAGAGCCTTCCACTTGAGCCATGTATCCAGCCTTTATTGTAAATTTTATACCCCAAATGTGATTGCATCTTAATTAGATATCACCCTACTTAGGTACTGTTCCTTTACTCTGTACAAGTTTCTCATCTCCCCCAGTCTAGCCCTTGCTTTTACAGGATTCTTTCTCCCTCCATCCCTTCATCGCCCTCTTCCACCTAACCCTGAATTTGGCCTACCCCCGATGGTTCCTGAATCATTAAGAAATAAAGTTGCTCTTGCTAATCATCAAGAATGTCTGTTGTGGGGGTGGGAGGCAGGGGAAAAGTGTGGGAGCATTGTGAGGGTGGGGAAAAAAGAGCATTAGAGCCATGTTGTACAAGCTACTTTTTCTACATTTATATTACAAATTAACTGACTAGAAGAGTAATGCTCTTGAAATTTATTTTTCTCCCGTTAGTGTCTGCATTCATTCCAGGAGTCAGTTTAGAGTTAGATTTGCCATTTTGCCCCTATTCCCAGCAAGGTTTTTAAACTTCAGCCTACTGCCTCTGTCCTTATCATTACTCCAACTTTATACCATATACAGCACTTCTGACTTCATAATGCTTCATATGCAGCCTCAGGCCCCACCCCTAGGGATGGTGGTTATAACTGCCAATAAGTTTTCTTCTGGCTGCCCAGTCTGGGTTTCTTCAACCTATGAGATCCATCTGACCCTCCAGTCCCCAACCGGATGGGCCCCTTTGGTTGTTCAGGGCCTGTAGAAGACATTCCTTCCACATGACTCATCAGGGGGCTCTCTGAAGACGGAGATGATCTTGAAAAATATGTTTATAGTCATCAAACATGGAGGTGAGGAGCAGAATATAACTGGTATATGAGTATGGGCATGGGGAGGGCTGAGGCAGAGATGACACAGATGATGGAATACCTCATCCCTTCTCTTCTCAGATAATCAGGAATTTTTGGTCAACACCAATTGTTCTATCCTCCTGTTGCTCCATTATATTCGCACTAAAATGGGGTTAAGGAAAACAGGTGAGGAATTTAGGGGAGAGGATTAGTAACCAAGGGGGGAAAGAAAACCAACCAGGGTCATTACCTCTTGTCTGATAAGAAGGGAGTTCCTTCCTCATATCTCTGAAGCTTTCTTCAACCCACCCTATGATCACTTGCCCTTTTTGCTCTCACTCTCTGTCTTTAACTGCCCCAATTATCCTGTGGCCTCCCTCTAGACACCATCGATTTGTGTGATGAATCAGGAACTTTGAAGCTGCTTTTCCTGTCGAAGACCCCTACAGAATATGCCAGCAAATTCCTCACAGTTCGAAACACCTACTACGTTTGTAAGGTGGAGCGTGGGGCTCCAGGTACAAGATTGGGAATGTTTCCCAGAGACAGAACCAGGTCTCCAAGATGGGTCAGAAACATTGTTCTGTCTGTCTGCCTGTCTGTCTGTCTCTGTCTCTATCTCTGCCTCTCTCTGTCTCTCTCTGTGATAGGACCTGAACTCAGGGCTTTGAACTCTCAATTGGCTTTTTCACTAATGGCTGGCACTCTACCACTTGAGCCACATCTCCAGTCTGGCATAAGCCACCGGTGCCCACATTGTTTTTAATATGAGACACTCTTTGCGGGTTCTTGTGGCTTATACCTGTAATCCTAGCTACTCAGGAGGCTGAGATCTGAGGATCATGGTTTGAAGCCACCTGGGGCAGGAAAGTCCATGAGACTCAGATCTCCAATTAAACACTAAAAAAGTTGGAAGTGGAACTGTAGCTCAAGTTGTAGAACACTAGCTTTGAGCCAAAGAAGCTCAGAGACAGTGCCCAGACCCCGAGTTCAAGCCCCAGGATGGGCAAAAAAAAAGAGAGATACTCTTCACTAGCACTCAGAAGACTGAGGCAGGAGGATACTGAATTTGAGGATAGTCTATGCTATATAATGAAATAAACAAATTAACAAATCAAATAAGAAAACAAAACGATCCCCCCTCAGATGTATAAGTAAACTAGAGCACACTAAACCAGATATCCCAATTGTCCGTATCTAGTCAGTCTAATTTTGAAAGTACACTGCCTCTGGACTGAGGGCATAACTTAAGTGATAAGAGTACTTGTCTAACATGTTTGAGGCCCTGAGTTGCATCCCCAGTACTGGAACAAAAAAACAAAAGCAAGAAACAAAGAAGAAAGAAAAGAAAGAGGAAAAAGGGCACTTCATCAATGAAAATGGATTAAGTTCATGAATCCTATGTCTCCCCTGGAGTCCATTATTCACCTTTGGGTTCAAAGTGAAGGGGAGGAAATAAGGTACACTATCTCCAGGTAGTGTTTAGTTTTAAAAGCTCTGAAATCTTGGGCTTCAGTAGGGTGGAGTCTGGGTAACAAAGGGAGGACTGGGGATATCATACTGTTATGTTCACAGGAACCAGAATTGAGAATTCCTACAAAGTTGTTGTGCCTCTCCTGAAGCATCCGGAACTTGAGCTGCTTGGTAAGGAGTGTGATGGGGTAAGGAAGAACATGGAGAGTATTGTACATAGCTACATGATAGACAACACAGGCCAGTACTTGGGAGGCTAAGAAGGCAGGAGGATTGTGAATCTGATGTCAGTCTGGACTACCTAAAACAAGAGTATCTGAAAGAAAAACAGAATGGAAAAAAGGCAGGAATAAATCAAGAGAAATTAAGAAATTAAGAAAGGAAAGAACAAAACAAAATATAGGATAGGTGGGATCATGGGAGCCTTAGACAGTAAGGAGGGTCTAGGTCCACTGTGGGGAGGATGGGTAGTTTAAACGATGTGTCCCGATTTTTCTGCCATCTTCTCTGGATAGCCATAATTTCTACCTAATGCCAAGTTACTCCAATTGATTGTTTGAAATATGGGAGGGTCAAGATGGGGAAGATGTCTCTTCCTCAGAGCACTGGGGGCCTCTTCCTGTTCTCAGAGGCTCTTCGAACACAATGTGACATATTAGAGAAGAGCCGATTAAAGATGCTTAGAGCCTTGGAAGCCAAGAAACTAGCTGCCGCTGAATCTTCCACAAACGTCTCAGGAAGACTCCTCAAAGGCAGTACATCCCAGCACTTTTCTCTCAGCCAGCAAAAGGTACCTCTACCGGGTTCCCCAGGCTAAATTTTCTTACAGAATCCCACTTGTATACCCAAGATGTACCTCTAACCTTTTTGCTTCTTCCTTTGACATTTTAGAGATTATCCAAGCAGGATCTCTTTGTTAATTCACTTACTTTCCCTTTCTAGTCCAAGATAGTGCGGACTGATGAAGATGGGACTCCTCTCCCACGTAGACCAATCCTTAAGAACAGATCAGACTTTGGCAGGAAGGATCGACATCGTTGAATTAATGAAGTGACCAAGTAAGTGCAGCAAGTTCAGATATGAAATTACATTTTAAAAACTGTCCTACTTGGGCGCTGGTGGCTCACGCCTGTAATCCTAGCTATTCAGGAGGCGGAGATCTGAGGATCACGGTTCAAAGCCAGCCTGGGCGGAAAAGTCCATGAGACTCTTATCTCCAATAAACCACTAGAAAACCAGAAGTGGCGCTGTGGCTCAAGTGGTAGAGCGCTAGCCTTGAGCTGAAGAGCTGAGGGACAGCACCCAAGCCTGGAGTTCAAGCCCCACAACCGACAACAAAGCTGTCCAAGCAGGACCTCTTTGTAAATTGATTTGCTTTCCCTTTCTAGTCCAAGATAGTGCGGGCTGATGAAAATGGGTCTCCTCTCCCACCCAGATCAATCCTTAAGACCAGAACAGACTTTGATAGGTTGGAGAGACTTCGCTAAGTTAATAAAGTGACCAAGTAAGAGCAGCAACTTCGGGTATGAAATTCTTGGAATTTAACATGAAGTTCCTTTTTTCCATTAAGACTCCTCCCAAAATCCACACAAAGGCTCAAGTAGGCCCCAGGCACCAGGGAGGCTCTGGGTGAACAGGAGAACGACGGGACCAGGCTGAAGCCAGAACATGGGTAGGGGTGAGGCAAAGGCTGTGAAGTCTAAGTACAATGAGCCTTTGAGGGCCAGAGTAGGGGGTGGGGTCTTCTCAAACCAGACTACCTCCCCTAGAGAGGCCTATCTAGCAGCCGCCTAACTCCTGCTGGGGTTAGGTGTCCCTCCCCCACCACACTCCACTACCTCCCAAGCTGAAATTCCCCGCCCCGCTACCTCGCTGCCTCAGGGCAGTCCCTCCCCAGCCGCCCTTCAACCAACTGCCCTTCGCCTTTCCTCCCCATCCTCCCCCTAAGCGGAGAGGGGCAGCAAGGCAGCAGAAACCAGAGCTGGTTATAGACATTTATTGAATTTATTCATTTATTGATTTGACACACTTCCCCACTCCAATCTAGCACATGATACAATCTGGGTAGGCCAGGCGCTGGCTGACACAGGAAATGATGGGAACCCACAGCAGGGGTGGGGGAGGGGACAATGCAAAGGGCACTGGGGGAGGGGCTGCCTCGGGGACTGGGGTGGAAGAGCCCCAGATGGCCTCCCTGGCAGGTGCTAGTAAACCTGATCCACATTCCCCCATCCCTGCTCATTTCCCAGACCCTCAGCCAAAGCTCCCCACCTCCCCCTTCCCAGTTCTCCTCCCCCCAACTGCCTGCCACCACACAGGCTTCCACATAACCTCTGTAGTCAGGGAAGGGGAAGAAGGGCAGAGACAGCTGTCAGGGGCCTGAACAGGGAGGTCTCTGTACCTAACTTTAATACTCTAAATCCTTTCCTCCTCTTCTTCCCTTCCCCCTCAGGCCCAGAGCTAATTCTAGGCCTTCAATGCACTCTTCCCTAGTAGCACTAACCTGCATTGGGTTATACAAGAATGTGGCTGCACCTCAATATCACACTTTTCTAGGCACAAATTGACAGAATGCGGGGTATTGTCTTAGGGAAACTCCAACTCATTTACGCAAAGACCTTTTTCTAGACCTGGTCCAAATAGGAGCTCTTCCCCAAGTTCACTATTGCTTCCCACCTCTTCCCTCATGTCCCATCTCCCTTAATATTGTCTGTAGTGTTTGTATCACATCATTTAATTATGACAAAGCCTTCAGAAAAAGAAAATCTCTCCATCACTAACAACTTGCCACTTAAAAAAATCTTGATATTTGTGTTTATATTTCTTTAAAAGTTTATAAAAGCCTTTCCATTATCTGCAGCCTTCCAAAAGTAATTTGGCCAGGTGAGCTATTCCAGTGCTCAGACCTTGGCCCTTCTAAGGTCCCATATTCCCCCCAACCCACCCCCCCACTGGCCTAAGGGGCCACTGCATAAAAATCTCAGGCTCTACCTAGCCTGGCTCAGCTCAGATTATGACTCTCTACAGAAAGAAAGGAAAGAGAGAAAGAGAAAGAAAGAGAAAAAAAGTAATCCTGCTCCTAAAGGCAGGGGTAAGGCCACTGGTGACTTCACATTTCCAACAGCATTGCTGGTTCCTGCTACAAAAGCCTAGGGGGTACAAATGGGGGAAGCAGAGAATGGCTCCTGAGAAAGGGCCATAATTACCCCCTAATTGGCACAGTGAGAATAAACCCTCCTCCATTTCTCCCTCCTATATCCCTCCCTCCACACTTCCCATATGGTGCAGTTTATCTTTATAATTTTTTCAACACCTGTGTGTGTGTATGTGTGTGTGACCAGACCCCACCCTAGCTCTAATGCAGGGTCCCAAATTCCTGGGGAGGGCTCAAGGGAAAAAAAATCTGCATATGGACACGCCTGGCTCCGCCTATGAAGCAGAGGGCAAAGCTTCCGGCCGTGACTCAAGGATCTGTGGGAAGAAGAAATAGAGAACAAGGTAAGAGGAGATTCATATGGGACAGGCTCATGTCCCACCACCATCCAGAGTAACATCAAGAAAAACACAGCTTCCTTTCCTCCCTCCACTCCCATTTCTGTGCTATCTAAGGCCTCATTTGGAAACTGGACTGCTTTAATATGACATCCTCCCTTCAATTCCTCAGGAGTTCTGACCACCCCCTTGTTCTCTCTCCTAGGCTCAGATCATGGAATTAGGAGTGGATGTGGCTTTGGGAATGCTATAGTGATGGTGGGGGTGGGGGGGTGGGCTGCTGTACCTGGCTCAAAGTTGAAATCTAGTCCTTCACCCCCATCCATGAGGTCACTGATGATGTTATCCATGTCACACTCCAGGTTCTCCATATACATATCGAGATCGAGATCTTGAGGCATTCGGTCTTGGCTTGCAGCTTCAGTAGGTGTGAGTAAAGGAGTTCCCAGGGCCTTAGGGATGGGAGCACCTGCCATGACTGGAGGTGGTGCCATCATAGAAAGGCTGGGAACCAGACTGCTGGGGCCTGGAGCCTCTAGGGGTTTGGGACATAGGCCAACTCCTGAGGCCATCTTGCTGGAGGAAGGCATACCCCCCAGCAACAGAAGTGTGGGAGCCTGGGATAGAATGGGATCAACCTGGGTCATGAGGACATCAGCAGGGGGTGGTGGTGTATCAGAGGTGAGCAGGGCCTCTAGAGACTGAGAGCCTGAGAAGCACCCTTCTGCTGACAGGGACCCCTCTGCTGGGCCAAAGAGAGAGGCGCCATAGGTATGTAAGGGGCCACTAACCCCAGGATGCTGCAAAGGGAAGCCAGAGAGACTGCTCCGAGACAGCAAGGAATGGGGGGATGTGAGATTGAGCCCATCCAGAAGCTCAAGATCTTCATTTAGGGTGGGAGGGAGGCCTCCTGCATAGCTGCTGACTGAAGCTGGCACTTCTTCTTCTGCTAGCACTTCAGACTCTGGCCTCATGGGAGACAGCCTGGTGCTGACGGTGCTAGCATTGGAACTGCTTCGTGGACGGAAGGTGGTCCACATGTCAGCTTCTTCACGATTTCGAGAGCAAGGACTACCTGACCACTTGGCAAAATGGCCCATGGGGCTCCTTGGAGTGGCACCTTCAGGAGGAACTGGTAGCACAGATGGTTTCTTCTTGGGGGCTTTGCTGCGGCCCCGGAGTAGCTTGCTACTGCTATCCATGGAAGCAGCCCGGCGGCGAGGTGCCTTGCCACTCTTGCCTCCCTCAGGGTTCAGCATCCACCAGGAGCTCTTGCCGGTGGCCTCATTGTGAACCTTGATGAACTTGCTGTGCAAGGACAGGTTGTGGCGGATAGAGTTCTAGAGAGGGCAGAAACAGCAGGAAAGGGGCATGAGGCAGGTATGTAAGAGAAGGTGACTAGCCAAAGTCCAAGGAGAGGCCAGGATACAGCAGGGGTATTCTTGGAGACTTAAAGGAAAGTCAATGGTGGTTCACCCCTGTAAGTATAACTACTCAGGAGGCTGGAATCTGAGGATCAAGGTTCAAAGTCAGCCCAAGAAAGTCTGTAAGACTCTTACCGGCCAAAAAGCTGAACATGGAGCTCTGGCAGGGCCCAAGTAGTTAAAGTGTCCATCTTGAGTGAAATAGCTAAGGGATGGTACCCAGGCCCTGTGTTCCAGCTCCAGTATGTGTACACACACACATGTACACACACACACACACACACACACACCCCTCAGGGGTAGGGGGAGAGAAAGGGAAAAAAAGGGGAGGGAAGAGACTATACTCAGTTCCCAGGAGAGTTTCTCCCAAATCCTGGGGTGTATGGGCATGGAGAAACAGTACTGCTAACTCAGCATGAACTACTGTTGATATGGGAATGAAAATGGTTGCATAGCTCTACTCCTTTCCTTGAGTGCAGGCTTGGGTGGAGATTATAGGACTGTGCTCGTATCAGCCCAGAATTGACCCCTGTCCTGAACCTCTTCTCTGAATAGGCTGAGGGGCTGGAGCCTTGTACAGCTTGTACTCCACTCCCCACTGGGCATTCAGACAGCCCAACTAGCTCTCTGCAGAAGGTTCCTCCCCACCCCCATTCCCCACCTCTGCTGAATCCCAGTCTTATTTCTGCCAACAGGATACAAACCCTCTACACATTTCACGAGATACAATTTATCTCTCCCTTTCTTGCCTGAAGAAGATGTTCTCTCTCTAGATTCCACTAGAGTCCAAGCTTAAATCCGACCTCTTTTGTATTGTAATTGCTTGTCTTGACAAATTTCTTGCACAGTATTTTCAATTGATTCTACATTAATTTTACCCAAGCTATGTGGTATGGTTTATAGTTCATATAGTTAGTCTCATTAAGTGTAAGCATGAAGGGAAAGGACAGTTCTATAGTCCCCAAACAGTGCCCCCTTGGAGTAAGCCCACAGCACATCAAGCTTACAGTGCATGATCAATATATGTTGCCCAATTGCTGGGTAGCCTAGAGTGACTATGCTGTGGCTCCATTTTGAGGCTCTGTCAGCTCTAGAGTGCTGTGGGTATTGCACCATTCCTCCTTC